ATGCTAAATACTTAGATAATTCGTATGTTGGCGTGTTCCTAAAGTCAACTATTGGCCTGATAGGGTGTCCTGATTTATGAATTTTGATCCATATATTCTACTAGGATCTTTTTGGTTTTAGGCGACAGATTGAAGCATTGTGACTCGTCCAAAGATGACTTCATACGGCATACTAGATCCGCTGTAGAGTTTTAGATTTTGTGTATAATAGTATCCATGAATGTTTAAATTTCTCATAGTAATCATATCATCAGTGAATACTTCGATTATTTGTTTTGTTGAAGGATTTCATCATGAGCTCACATCAATTAGCAGCAGGTTGAAAGTGAGGCAGTACCTCATCGAAGAAGACGTTGCTAAGTGGTCATGAATTGTCGGAAGTTGGAATTCATAGGCCAATGGATCGGGTCCCAGTGGCTTAATGGTCTACAAACTCGCCTTGCAACCAGAAGGTCCTGGTTTCGAACTCCTATGGGGTGGATGCGTACTGCTGAAGAGCCCGTTCCAAACCAGGACGAAACAGCTGTCCAGTACATCCTGCAGGTTTTCCAGTGGTTCTCTAACTGACGTCAGCTCATGACGAAATCCTTCAACCAATCAAACAAAATTGCTACAAAAACCAACTTTTGAAAATTCGATTATTTGTATTTCTCACTGAAAATCGACGCAGATACAGGCCTTATATTACTTTAAAACAGCACAACCAAATATTCAATCATATTAGCTGGTATAATGTGGGATAAGAACACTGATAATTTCATGAATATTGATTGTTATTCTACACCTACCTAGTGTAGATTTTCACTGTTTCACTTTTATTGATTACCTTTCTTTCATTACTTTTGATAGCTTACAATAACGAACTCTTAGATAAATCTTCAGTATGTTACTATGCAGTCATTAATTCAATAACACTGTCAATAATCTACTGGAAAATGTCTTCCACCTGTCTGAAGCGTCATTGGCTAAGTGAAAAACAGTCAGCTTTAAATCAGTACTGGTCAATAAATAATAATCTAGTCATCATCATCATCATCAGTCCCTTGACTTTCGTCGTGGGGGTGCAATGACAGTTCGCGCTATCAGTCTTCGCCATTCTTCTCGGTTTAATGCTATTTTCTGTAGCGTATCCAAGGGCATTTCAGTCCACTCTTTTATGTTGTCAAGCCAGCTCTTATTCGGTCGACCTCTCTTTCGTGCTCCTCCTACTGTGCCTTGTAGAATCGTTTTGGACAATGTGTCATGTCTTCCGA